TCGTCAAACCCAATATGTCAGCCTCTTTTCAGATTGTCAAGCATCACAACAGGGGAAGAGAATTCCTCCATCAGCGCATTATGTGTGTGTGTGTGTGTGTGTGTGATGTGTGCTCGTATTGCCTTACAGCCCCTCTCCCTCGCTGATGTGTAACTATCTATTGTCTGTTCTTGTGACTGGCTGGAGCACAAAAGCCCTAAAGTGCTCTAGCATCCATTTTTTGGATTTCTTCTTCTGGGGTTTCAGCATCATCAGAACACAAACATCATAGTTGACTTCTGTGACTTTTTTTGGTATAAAACAAAAGAAAATCTTCCCATGCGTAACTGAGTCTGCCTTAAACGTGTTACCGACCAATCATTTTCATGTTACAGTCCACCATATGCTCTGACAAGCTTTTGCTTATGACTAGGTTAGTCTATAGAAGCCCTGTGTGTTTGGATATTTTTAATTGGAAATTCCAGGTATTATCCTAATTATTTAAAAAACTATATAATATTTTTGAATGCTATTGAAAATTATTATCATTTATGTTTGGCGCTCCACTTCAACAGAGCCCTTAAGGTTTTGAATTCTGAGCTGTTTTAAAGAGACCAGGCTTCAGATGGCCAATTATCCTCTCATAATTCTTCCATGTTTTAATTGGCTCGTACGGGGGCTGTCATGTGAAATGATGAAGGATGAGCGTTGGGTGGGCTGCATTACTCAATCGCACCAATCAGAAGAGAGAGACGCTACATTCTTTTTTTTGTTCTCTGTCTTCTCTCCTCTGCTGAGATTTGGAGGGTGAGAGATGGAAAGAGAGGAACTTTGAATGGCCAATGAGCCTGAATAATTGCGTTCATCAATTAAAGAAGCCAGAGACTTAACGAATACAACTAATTATGGACATAAATCAAGCAAGCTCCAGCCTTGACTAATTTGTACAAGGTTGAAGTGGTTTGACTTCTACCACTAGGAGTTTTGCAAGAAAAGCTTGCGGATCACACCTGAACTGATCATCTCCTCCACATTAATACCAGTTTCAGCACAAAATAAACATGACTAAACATCCGAAGAGAAGTTAAAAGAAAGAGTACAACTTTACAATCCGTATGAAAGTGAAAAGTGAAAGTGACATGTGGCCAAGTATGGTGACTCATACTCGGAATTAATGCTCTGCATTTATCCCATCCAAAGTGCACACACACTGCTGAGAACACACACCGTGAACACACACCCAGAGCAGTGGGCAGAGCCATTTTTGCTGCGGCGCCCGGGGAGCAGTTGGGGGTTCGGTGCCTTGCTCAAGGGCACCTCAGTCGTGGTATTGAAGGTGGGAGAGAGCGCTGTACATTCACTCCCCCCACCTACAATCCCTGCCGGTACGAGACTCGAACCCGCAACCTTTGGGTTACTAGTCCGACTCGCTAACCATTAGGCCACGACTTCCCCATTATCCTGTCTCATCTCTCAATTAGTGTTTCAGCCGCGCAAAGACATCAATATAAAGTCTTGTAAACAATGTCACGTAACGTCACATTTACCCCAGAAAAACATATTCGGTGACCATAAACTCATTAGTAAGCTAGAAAAATAAACTGTAGAGAGGGGCATTTTGCTAAATATATGCACCATATAATATATTCATTATAATTTTTACTGTTCTTCAATGTTTCATTTATGTTTGACTAAATCCATCAAGTTTTTGACAGCCACCATTTAAATGTTTATATTTCAAAAAACAAATTGAAGTAGAAGTATTATTATGTAGCTAATTGTAACTTTATTATTTTAAAAGCTTCATTAAGTGTAATTTTAGCAGTTGTATATTAGCCTACAAATCAGTCAATTTTAACCTTCAATATTATAGTAATGTAGCACCAACTGACTCTCATGTATATTTTACAGCATTAGTTGAGAGATTTTTTTCCTTGAGAAAATGTGGCATGTACTGTACCTGATATGTATCCAAAATAATCGAATCGAATTGGTAATCGAATCGCAAGCTTGTGAATGAGAATCGAATAGAATCGTGAAATTTGTGTCAAAACCCAGCCCTAAATAATAGTATGGGAAATTATTGTAATGCAGTTTGTGTGCAATTCCAGAATATAGATTAGCGAAAATAAATCTAAAAACCAGCCAGTTGCCAATGGTGTGTTTTGGAGCAAAAACTGTCCGGTTCTGATTTATGGCCAGTCGACCGGTGCATCTCTACTTGAGATGACTTGGAATATAGTTCATAAGTCATACGGACTAGTGATGATCTGTTGTTGGAGCTCAACAGCCCCTGGTCACGATGAATATCTCCTGGTGGTGGATGAGAAGTCATCATTCACTCATGACCATTAAAAAGGAGATGTCATCAGTGTTTTGATATTTAGGTGAACTATCTTTTTAAAAGTATTGAAATCAGGTGCGATTGAATATGTTGGCTCTCTCTGTCTCCATACCATGAACTTCTTACGAAATGTGAATTGTGACCATCTGGAAAAATAATCCATGATAACATTAACAAGCTGTCTAGCGAAACTGGAAAAGCCGAGACTTTCCAGTGGAGAAAGTTACCGCTGGAAGTAGTTGACCCACAGTCTTCACGACACTCCGTCATCGAGACCGATATATGGTATTGTATAAAGCTGAGCATATGTTCCTCTTCATCCTCAACTAGGTCATCAACATTAAGCCTGCAATGTGAAGTTAGTCTCTTCTGAAGACCGTTGGAGTTTCCATCACAATCATTCATTGCGCTCCATGAGCCGCAGTGCTCGAGCTGGAACCACTGGCTCATGTGATGTGGAATTTAAGGCCTCATTGGAAAAAAATGTTTCCATAGTCTTTCAGCACCACTTGGCCTGATGTACTACACGGCAAAGGAAATCAGTTTTATTTTTTCCTTATTTGGCATGGTGCTTATTATTAGTTACAGAAAATTGGTGGTATTTCTGATGGCTTGTATTCTCAGTGTTGCAGTATTGATAATTGAGATTCGACACCCGGCAGCTCGTCAAAAGCTCGTCAAACAGCCACTGTACCACTCTAGTTCTTTTGCTGTAATCCAGGCCAGGAGTCGTCACCTCAGCAATTGGAAATAGGGGTGTAACGATTCATCGATATGGATCGATAATCGAAACGATGTCTGACGATACAATGCATCGATGCCACGCGTAAAATATCGATATCTGTAGTATAAATAGGCATTGTTATTTTGGCACTGTACACATTTTCACATAATGTCCGTCTCGTTCAAACTCACGTATCAGGACTCAATATAAGGACTGCCCGAAGGCACAAGGTGAGCATAAAAGACACTCGGGATTGTTTGCAGAACAGTCGAGCGCTGTGTGAAAAGTTTTCTGCGCACATATCTGAAGCGCAGACAGCCGCGTCTAGACTGCATGAATACTAAATTGAGCTCTCTTCAGGGGCGCGGGAAGATGTTTTCGGTTGGGGGTGCTGTGTGTGTCCGTGTTGGAGGGTGGGGGGGCGCTAGCGTCACGTGTTCATGAGGATTAGACTAATCATCCCATATAGAAAACATCACAAGTAAAATTAATCATGTTTATAAAGATAAGCATGGGTTTATTATAGCCCACTTACAATTTACATTTCAGAGATCATTACAAATAAATTATTAAATGCTAAAACTGAATAAATTTAAATGAACAAACTTGGCGTTGCATTTGCAACCATGTGAAAACAGGGGGTGCTGCAGCCCCCTCAGCACCCCTACTTCCCGCGTCCCTGGCTCTCTTCTTCTTTTTTGTGCATGGATGAATAAATACAGACAAAATTACTTCAAAATGCGCATTTTGGCGAATATCCTAGTAAACACAGTCGGTTAGGCGTATGTCTTAACATAAACAGTTGAGAAAGAAAAGGCATGTGTATGAGTAGTTAAATCCGTGCATTCGTTCTTCAAGTGAAAGCAAACTAATAATAAATCTAATGCCGTCATAAATCTAAAGAAAAATACAAGTGCTCACTGCTCCTGATAACCTTTGTAACATCAAAATGATTAATCTATATTTAATTTATACATTGAAGACTATGCACTTATTTTACATTTGATTATTACATTTCTGTAGCGTACCTGAAAATAGATTTTAGACTGAGCTGAAAAACCTGAAAAGCACTGTTTATTGAACTTGTGTCTTTGTATTTATTTTCTGCTATTGCTTGTAATTTGGTTATCTGTTGAAAAGATTTTTAGCACTGAGCCCATAGTAGCAGCCAGAATTTTTTTTTTCAATTGTTTATTTTCTTTATTATAAAAAAAAAAGTGTAGGCCTATTTTTTTTGTTGTGAATGTCCCAATTGAGGTACAGGATGTGAAAATTTCAGATAAATGTTCATGTTATGTATTTTGGTTGCATTTGTGAGTTAATAAAAATGTAGATGTTGTTTAAAATAGGTATACAATATCGATATATCGATCGATATACTCCTCTATCGAATCAAATCATAATCGTATCATAGAATTTTGTGAGGTATCGGCAAATATCGTATCGCTGGGTAAAAAATCGTATCGTGACGAACCATCCGATTTACACCCCTAATTGGAAACGAATTTCAGTTGCACGGTTGATTACGATTATTTGCAGACATGAACTTAGAGCCCGTTGGCATAACTCTGTTTCTGGCTGCATTCAAGATCAACTGTGGGGTAAAAAACTTAGACCGGCCCCCTAAGTGGTTATTTAAAGGATTTAGATCCGCACTGGTTCTAATTTTGGCAGCATACAACTTAGTATTAGTGCACTATGTTCAGATTGACCTACAGGTTTTTTTTTTTTTACAGGTTTGCTGCTTCAGAGCTGCTGTCATTTTGTCCATTCGTTTGCTTTCTCCCAAATTAGACATAGCATCAAGTCCATTAACAAGATACACTTTATATTACCCACTTCCAAAAGACATTCTTATATATTCTTATGAGGTTTTTGGCTCTTTTGGAATCGTGATAAATATGATAATGGTCCAATCTTCAACTCCCCTTTCTTGTGTTTTGTGTACATCAGGATCTGTCCGGCTCTATAGATGACCTCCCCACAGGAACAGAGGCGGGTCTCAGTTCGGCCGTCAGCGCTTCGGGTTCTACCAGTAGCCAGGGCGAGCAGAGTAACCCCGCCCAGTCACCCTTCTCACCCCACGCCTCGCCCCGAGTCCCCAGCATGCGCAGCGGGCCCTCGCCCTCACCGGTTGGATCACCTGTGGGTTCCAGCCAATCACGTTCTGGGCCCATATCACCTGCCAGTGGGCCAGGTAAAAGATTCTGTGTGAGATATAATTTTTTGATTTATTTTTTCATAAATATTTCAGGGGGAAACAGAATATTTATCTGTTGTTTCAGGGTCTGTTTTTATTTTGCTTAATTTATTTTAATCATTTGAAATATCTATTTATGTAATAACGTTTAAATTGTGTAAGATTATTTTGTAGTAGAGACCTGAATTTTCAGTAATATTAATAATCAATTTTCATTAAAATAATGATCAATTGATTGATTAATCATTACCGTTAACATTGAAAAATACACGTAGAGAACTCCAAATTTCATGTCCACATAGTAGCAACAGCTGCAACAATCTGAATATAGGGCTTTAATATAGGTACACACAATAACAAAAATGAAAAATATAAATTTTGGAGCAACGTAGAATGTCAAATTGATTAATCTTGAATCGTTAAATTTAATCGATTAAATTATTAATGCCTATTCTGAATAAATTCATTCATTCATTCATTCAAATTTTTGTTTATTGTAGTTATAAGAATTCTTTTTATTTGTATGACCAAATAATTTTACATTTATTAATCAAAATATATTATTTAATTATTATTTGTTATTTCATTTCTGCATTTTCTGCCTAAGCCCACTGTGCATGTTTGTGTTTGCTGACATTTCTTCGAATAAATCTGCTGAAAATTAGCTGCTGAAATCACTTTAAATACAGACTGAATTTCTCTCCAATTAGGCACATATTCTTAATTCTCTGTTGTGAATATTTTGGGAAAAAATATTATTGTTATGCTAACTTCGACGTACCCATTAGCTACAGCCTTCACATGTGTGTCATTTAATCCTGGCACCGTGGAGCAGTCGGAGGGCGAGGTGTTTGAGCTCCAGACAGCAGGATTCAAGCTGACTTTAAAACAAGTCACTCCATCATTAAAATAGTTTTGAAAGTCTGTTAGCAGTTTGGAGTCACTTTGACACAATTACTGTCCTGCTGTGCGCTGCATTGTTAGCCAGGCTTCTTTGATAGCCGGGCTGCAGAGGGCGTTGTGCAGCTGAAACGGCTGTTTTTCCTTTCCGTTCTGAATGTCACTAACAAGGTCCACAGGAGAGCGTTTACCCCGCTGCACACAAAATCCCTACTGGGAGCACCGGTGGCCATTAGCCGCATACAGGGCTGGCCCTGACATGTGATCTGTGTGCCATTACTAGAGGATGAATAACAACGCGCTTACAAATATACACGTTCTGTACATACAAGCACACAAAGTTGCTCCTGGGAGAGAAACAATGAGCCTTAAACACCTCCCATGGGACGTGCGGTTAGAGATTCTGCCCTCTAGGCTAATTTATCTGATATTTATCATGAAAAGTAGCTTTCATATGAGACCATTAGCTGCGTTTGTGGTTTTGTGCATGTGCACTGCAAAAACATCTTTTTTCTTAATCAGTATTTTTGTCTTGCTTCCCAATCTAAACGTCCTTAAAACAAGATAAAGATGTTAAGATAATTTTTCAGAGAATATGTATTTTTGATTTTTTTTTTTAGACCTGCAGTAAATCTTACAAAATGACAATATAATTTAAATTTATATAATTAAATAACAAAAAAATGTATAAGTAGTATTTCATTAAATAAAAAACATTAAAAACAGAATCTGACAACAACTCTTAGTATCTTCATAGAATTGTACATGTCAATATTTAGATATTTTACCGGTAAACAAAAATACTGATTAAGGAAATAATGTTTGTACAGTGAAAGACTGTGGGTTTGTGCACACGCTCGTTTTTTTTTCCCCACACACAGGTACACAGATGGCCCCTCAGACCACAGGGAATGTTCCAGACGTGGGCTCCCATTCCACTCACAGTCAGTCGCCCATGTCTCAGGAGAGAGGTGAGTTGATTTCCCGCAGTAACATTACGGCTCACACTGCCTCTATGTACAGCCAGCAGGAATAGGAGAGTTTTAGTGAACATCTGACAGCTGTATTTTTCATCTGTCCCGTGTAATGTGCATCAGTTTGTGTTCGTTTTCCAGCAGAGTCAGTTCAGATGAAGGAACTCAATTATATGATGTGTATCAATGTATGTTCTTCCTCCATGGACAGTGTGATGCTGCAAAACCGTTTTCCATGAGTAAACAAAAACTATTAAAACATTTTGCAGTTGTCAGTTCTTCTCACCAATGCAAGTGTGATCACATTTAGGTTGACCTACTCCAGAAGGTCAACATGAAATTAAATCTGACCTTATTTACATTCTTATTGTGCACAATTGATCACTGTACCTACTACCTAATCTTCTATCAAAATGTAAATGTAGGTTGATCCGCCTCTGAAACACACTGAATGTGTGCATTAAATGTTAACCAGTACATTACAGCAATGATAACAAATAAAGGTTTTAGCCTTCAGCCTCCAGGTCCAGGTCCAAAACGTTGTTGGCAAAAAGTGCAGTCCTTCACAATCCATTGCAAACTTATATTCAGGTCTGGCTTCATGATGATGTTTAATGATCAAACACTTGAGTAAACAAATGAAAAAAGACTTTTGAATTAATGAAACTGTTGCCTATTCATCAAGTGCACTTTCATCCCATTCAGTTTCAGACCTTTAAAAAAATTACATATATATATATATACAGGGCCTAAAATTAACACTCGCCAAGCGCCAAATGTGAGTAAAAATCGGCTTTGGTGAGTATATGAAACTGTCAGTCGCCAGATGGCCGGTAACATTTTTATAAATTCTAACAGTGCAATGTTGTGAGAACATAAACGTGAACGACACTCCGTACAGTTGACGGGTCAGTGCTGCTTCATCGAAAAAGTTTTAGCCTTTGCAGTGTAAATATTCAAGAGCTAGAACACGAGAAAGGACACGCGTTACTCTCGCGCTGTATGAGAAGTTTAAACATCCGAAACCCCGGCCTGAAAGTCATTTTGAGCTCTGAGCTCTGAGTCTTGAGCTCTGCTTCCTTCCTGCGCTTAAACAGACAAATTAACACAAAATTGTCAAAAATGTCCATCTCGGTGAGTATCCTAGTAAAGTAGTCGGTTCTTATGTGAACATGAACAGCTGAGAAAGAAACCGGACACGAGCAGCGTGCAACGCAATGTGTCAAAAGACGACAGAACCCAATATAATCAGTGATATTGTCTCCACAGGATGCGACACGACAAATCCCCGAAAGTAAACGGATTCCCCGTTCTGTTTTCTGAAATATTCCAAGCACTTTGCAACGGGCGCTTTGTCGCATCCATTGTTGACAACTTCAAGCTGCTGCGGTGTCAAAGTGATAGACACAGAATTCCTGCTGTTGTCTGCGTTTTTAATGTTGATCAAAGAAAATAGGACAAAGAAAAAAACAATCACTCACTGCTCTTGAACTTTAAAAAAGATATATAGCCTATGTTATTTGATTAGCATAATTTATTAAATTTCTGCAGGCTACCTGAAAATCACTGTTAGACCTGCCTGAAATGCACGTTTCCATTTGTATCTTTGTTGTATAGTAGGCTATTTTGTGCTATTTACTAGTCTTTAAAAATGTAGCCTATTAAATTTATGTTGGTTAAGCTAGTAGTTTTAGCAGGCATCGAAACTGGAATCAAGGATTGTGATTTTTTGCTATTATCTAAAAAATTTTATTTTTTTCCCGTGGCTGGTAAAAAATAGTTCTGGCCGGTAAATTTCCTTAAGTCACCGGCCAATGGCAGGTCTGGCAAAAAGTTAGTTTTAGGCCCTGTATATATGTATATATATATACATACATACACACACACAAAAATTAAATAAAATACAATTGTAGACAGTGTACATTCAGTACAATTGTTTAGCAGCAGTGTTCTCCACAAAGGCTAGAAAAGGTTGCCAAGCAGTAAAGAATCTCTTATTTGACCCTTTCATAAAGCATCTGAGCTTTTCCGATTGTATGTTATACATAACATCCTTAATCCAGTGTCTATATGTTGGAGGCGAAGAGTCTTTGCATTTATACAAAATTAGCCTCCTGGGTCTGCTTAGATTATAGTCTCGAGTAACAACTCCAAATATTGTTGTATAGAGTGGCAGGAGCTTGTTTACATTTAGGAGAACACGTGTAGGGTCCACATCACTTTTAATCTTTGCCAGCCTGTCCGTCGACCAATGAAGACGAAGTACAATTTTAAACTTAACAATTGTGTGTCTAAGACTAATAGAAGATGATTGTGTTCTCCTAATTGTTTCCTGCCAAATATTATCTGATATTTGATCCTCCATTTCTTTATGATTTATGACTAAATTTAATAAATAAATATCAGCTGAGGAATTTCAGTGGTCAAACAAGTTGTGACGAAACATGTTATTTATTAAACAATCATTAAAAATGACTAATGCCTAATTTTTCTTTGAATTGACAGATGAGTTAACCAGTTGTTTTAACCATTACCTTCTATCTCTTTTTAGGATTTGCACCTAACATGCAGCGCAATGTACCTGGTCCCCAGTTTGTAGGCCAGCAGCCGGGACCTTCTATGTCTCCACACTCCTGTCCCACTGGCCCTATGCACCATAGTGTGGGCTCCTATCAGCTGAGCCCCTCTTATGGGCCCCAGAGTGGCCAGTATGGTCCTTCAGGTAACATGGAAGGATGTTTCTTCTAGTTTTCTTGTGTGAATTTTTTTATGCTCCAAATTGTTATAACAAAACACTGCAGAACTATAGACCCCTCACTCACTCTTGAGTTGTTCCAAACCATTTCGACTTCTATTAATGGCATTAATAACTTTGAAGGCCCATTCACACCGCGGATGATAACTATAACGATAGCAATAAAGTTTTTTAAATCATTCTAATTCTATGAGATGTTGACACAACTACAACAACACAGACGAACGATATTGTTGTAATCAGTTTCAGAACTATTTTTTTCCAGCTGAAGAATGATAAAAACAACCAATGAGAATCCACCCAGCTTCAAAAAGCTTGAGCGTTTAAAGCGACAGACAACTAAACTACATGCACACTTATAATAAACAGAAAGTTATTGTCTGTTGGTGTGGATGCTAATATTATTGTTCAATTCAATTCAAGTTTATTTGTATAGCACTTTTCACGATACAAATCGTTGCTAAGCAACTTTACAGCCAATTAAGTTTCTACAATATTTAGTGGTAGCTTATCAGTGGTGACTGTCAGTTAATGTACATATGGCAGAAATGTATGGAAAAATCAATTAAAGACGTAATCAAACAGACGATGAACACTATTAACAGCAATTATTATTATATGATGCAATCAAACTTATAGCAAAATGTGGTAGTTCTGTAAGTTGTTTTAGGGTCGGCATCATCTCTTCTCAGGTGTTCTGGATCCAGACTGAAGCTTGTGTAAATCCTAGTTACCACGGGATATCAGTCCCGTGGCAGAAACAGAGAGCTCCTATGTTTATGTTCAGTTATTTTACAAACCCAATTCCATAAAAGTTGGGACACTGTACAAATTGTTAGTAAAAAAGGAATGGAATAATTTACAAATCTCATAAACTTATATTTTATTCACAATAGAATATAGATAACATATCAAATGTTGAAAGTGAGACATTTTGAAATGTCATGCCAAATATTGGCTCATTTTGGATTTCATGAGCGCTACACATTCCAAAAAAGTTGGGACAGGTAGCAATAAGAGGCCGGAAAAGTTAAATGTACATATAAGGAACAGCTGGAGGACCAATTTGCAACTTATTAGGTCAATTGGCAACATGATTGGGTATAAAAAGAGCCTCTCAGAGTGGCAGTGTCTCTCAGAAGTCAAGATGGGCAGAGGATCACCAATTCCCCCAATGCTGCGGCGAAAAATAGTGGAGCAATATCAGAAAGGAGTTTCTCAGAGAAAAATTGCAAAGAGTTTGAAGTTATCATCATCTACAGTGCATAATATCATCCAAAGATTCAGAGAATCTGGAACAATCTCTGTGCGTAAGGGTCAAGGCCGGAAAACCATACTGGATGCCCGTGATCTTCGGGCCCTTAGACGGCACTGCATCACATACAGGAATGCTACTGTAATGGAAATCACAACATGGGCTCAGGAATACTTCCAGAAAACATTGTCGGTGAACACAATCCACCGTGCCATTCGCCGTTGCCGGCTAAAACTCTATAGGTCAAAAAAGAAGCCATATCTAAACATGATCCAGAAGCGCAGGCGTTTTCTCTGGGCCAAGGCTCATTTAAAATGGACTGTGGCAAAGTGGAAAACTGTTCTGTGGTCAGACGAATCAAAATTTGAAGTTCTTTTTGGAAAACTGGGACGCCGTGTCATCCGGACTAAAGAGGACAAGGACAACCCAAGTTGTTATCAGCGCTCCGTTCAGAAGCCTGCATCTCTGATGGTATGGGGTTGCATGAGTGCGTGTGGCATGGGCAGCTTACACATCTGGAAAGGCACCATCAATGCTGAAAGGTATATCCAAGTTCTAGAACAACATATGCTCCCATCCAGACGTCGTCTCTTTCAGGGAAGACCTTGCATTTTCCAACATGACAATGCCAGACCACATACTGCATCAATTACAACATCATGGCTGCGTAGAAGGATCCGGGTACTGAAATGGCCAGCCTGCAGTCCAGATCTTTCACCCATAGAAAACATTTGGTGCATCATAAAGAGGAAGATGCGGCAAAGAAGACCTAAGACAGTTGAGCAACTAGAAGCCTGTATTAGACAAGAATGGGACAACATTCCTATTCTTAAACTTGAGCAACTTGTCTCCTCAGTCCCCAGACGTTTGCAGACTGTTATCAAAAGAAGAGGGGATGCCACACAGTGGTAAACATGGCCTTGTCCCAACTTTTTTGAGATGTGTTGATGCCATGAAATTTAAAATCAACTTATTTTTCCCTTAAAATGATACATTTTCTCAGTTTAAACATTTGATATGTCATCTATGTTGTATTCTGAATATTGAAATTTGAAACTTCCACATCATTGCATTCTGTTTTTATTCACAATTTGTACAGTGTCCCAACTTTTTTGGAATCGGGTTTGTATCTTATAAATATAAAAAAAAAACATACAGGCATATGTTTTGCTTTCATAACTTGAATAGGCTCATTCATAACTGCATTCTGATAGGCTTCATCAAGCAGTGAATGATTTTTTGAAAAGTCTTTGTTGCCAAGTGAGTAAAACAACAATCGATATCGTAGACAATAAATACCACACACCCCTAAAATAAAGTAGACCTGAAGATGCTTTATTTATTGAGTCTTTATTTATCAATAATCTGTCCATCCATCTATCTTCTGAAGCCAATGGAAGAGGAACGAAGTGATTTTTTTAGGTTTTCAAGGAAAGACGTCTATAGATTCATATTGTAAAAATATTATCTTTATATTTTGTCATATTTTGTTTAATGTTCTGTTGTTTTCAGCATGTGTAGGGACAATCGAGTGGAGCTGTAGCATCATCCATGTGTAGATGTATATGTAGCAGAATTGTTTTTTTCTTACTTTTTCATTTCTGTGATCTCTATTTTTTTTAGCTTCCACAGAAAAAAAAGTGAAGGGTTCGGTGGAAATGGTCTCACTGCTGTCTCAAGAGGGTGTGGATGAAGAGGATGCGCAGCAGGGGACGAGTTCACTTTAATAAGACACGCCCACCACTGTCAATCTTTGTCACATCATCAACACTTGAGCTGAACAACATATCTGTCACGAATCCGGTCCCCGTAACTCCTCCCGCTCACCACCAGAGGTCCCCTTCACCACACAGACTGTATCACCCTTTCACCCCGGACTACATTTCCCATGATCCATTTCACACTACACTGATTTGAATTTTTTCTTAAAGTAATTTTCAGATGCAAGGGGGGAAAAAAACGGGATAAACACAAGCATGAAACTTGCAAATAAAATAATCTGATATATAGTCAAGTCACCTTTATTTATATAGCGCTTTTAACAATACAGATTGTGACAAAGCAACTGAACAGTATTAATTAGGAAAATAGTGTCAATAATGCAAAATGACAATAGTAAACACTCATTTTTCAGTTAAAGACAGTTCATCATTGAATTCAGTGATGTCAACATCCAGCTCAGTTTAAATAATATCTTTGCAATCATGTCAACGATATCGCTGGAAATGAAGTGTCCCCAACTAAGCAAGCCAGAGGCGACAGCGGCAAGGAACCAAAACTCCATCGGTGACAGAATGGAGAAAAAACCTTGGGAGAAACCAGGCTCAGTCGGGGGGCCAGTTCTCCTCTGACCAGACGAACCAGCAGTACGGAAAAATCAATATAAGACGTAATAAAACAGACGATGAATAATATTAACAGCAATTATTATATGATGCAATCAAACTTATAGCAAAATGTGGTAGTTCTGTATGTTGTTTCAGGGTTGGCATCATCTGAGGTCCTCTGAGGGGTTGCATCTTCTCTTCTCAGGTGTTCTGGATCCAGACTGAAGCTTGTGTGAATCCTAGTTACCACGGGATGTTAATCCCGTGGCAAAAGACAGAGAAACAAATACAAACATAATTAGCGTAGCTGCTGTTCCAACCAAGCAAAAATGATTTGTTTAACCCAAACTAATGAATAATAATGTGCATTTGATTAGATATAACTGCAGTAAAAGATTATGACTGCAGTAAAAGATTATGAGATGCATTATTTGAATGCTTGGCCAAAGAGATGTGTCTTTAATCTAGATTTAAACAGAGAGAGTGTGTCTGAACCCCGAACGGTATCAGGAAGGCTATTCCAGAGTTTGGGAGCCAAATGCGAAAAAGCTCTACCTCCTTTAGTGGACTTTGCTATCCTAGGTACTACCAAAAGTCCAGAGTTTTGTGACCTTAGGGAGCGTGATGGATTGTAGCGTGGTAGAAGACTAGTTAGGTATGCAGGAGCTAACCCATTAAGGGCCTTATAGGCACGTAATAATATTTTGTAACTGATACGGAACTTAACAGGTAGCCAGTGCAGAGTCTGTAAAATTGGGGTAATATGATCATATTTTCTTGACCTGGTAAGGACTCTAGCCGCTGCATTTTGGACTACCTGTAGCTTGTTTATTGAAGATGCAGGACAACCACCTAGAAGTGCATTACAATAGTCCAGTCTAGAGGTCATGAATGCATGAACTAGCTTTTCTGCATCAGAAACAGGTAACATGTTTCGTAACTTGGCAATGTTTCATAGATGGAAGAATGCTGTTTTTGTAACATGGGAAATATTAATTAAATTGCTATTTAATATAACACCCAGATTTTTGACTGTAGAGGAAGTAACAGTACATCCGTCTAGTTGCAAATTGTAATCCAAGAGATTCTGTGTACTGTTTTTTGGTCCAATAAGTAATATCTCTGTCTTATCCGAATTTAATAGGAGAAAATTATTGGTCATCTTTTACATTTTTAACACACTCTGTTAGCTTAGATAATTTAGAAGTTTCATCTGGTCTTGTTGAGATATATAGTTGAGTATCATCCGCACAACAGTGGAAACTAATCCCGTATTTTCTAATAATATTACCAAGGGGCAACATGTGAATTGAAAATAGCAGAGGACCTAGGACAGATCATTGTGGCACTCCATACTTTACTGGTGATAATTGAGATGACTCCCC